TTTATTTTGTTTCAAATTTTATTGGTACAAAATCGTCTATATTATTCTCTTTAAAAAATTATTATTATTATTTTTTTATTTTTGAGAGAGAGGAGAGAGAGAATCTCAAGCAGGCTCCACGCTGTCAGCGAGGAGCCTGACTTCAGGCTCAAACTCACAGACCCTGAGATCATGACTGGAGCTGAAGTCAAGAGTTGTACACTTAACACTGAGCCAGGTGCCCCTGTTCTCTTTTTAATCTTGCTGTGTAGTGTGTTCTTTTTCATTCCTAAAATTGTTTATTTGTACCTTTTCTTTTGTTCGTTTATTTTATTAGTATTTCAAAGAATAAACTACCAGCCCTGTTGATCATTATGGTATTCTGCTTCTTGAGTTTCTGCTTTTTATTTCATCATTTAAATATTATTTTCTTTGGATTGGTGCTCTGGTTCTACCCCCAGCCCTGCTTCCTGATTTTTACTTTAAAAAATGTTTTAATGTTTTATTTACTTTTGAGAGAGAGAGAAAGAGAGACAGATGTGAGCAGGGGAGGGTCAGAGAGAGAGGGAGACACAGAATCTGAAACAGGCTCCAGGCTCTAAGCTGTCAGCACAGAGCCCGACGCGGGGCTCAAACCCACGAACCATGAGATCATGACCTGAGCCGAAGTCGGACGCTTAACTGACTGAGCCACCCAGGGGCCTCTTCCTGATTTTTTTACAATGACATTCAATAACTTATTAAATGTCAGGCTTTCATTTTTCTGAATATAAATATTTAAGGCTGTATATTTCCTTTGTCTATTTTTCCAATTTTTTTTATTGCGGTAAAATAGGTATAACATACAATTTGTCATCTTAATCATTTTTGCGTGTACAGTTCAGTGGTATTAAATACATTCATAATGTATAACCATCACTGCCATCCATCACCATAACTGATTTCATCTTGTAAAACTGAAATTCTATATCCAGGACCCACCATTCTATTTAAGTCTCTATGATTTGGACTATGCTAAGTACCTCATAGAAGTGGAATCTGTTTGTGACTGGTGGATTTTATTTAGTGTTCTCAAGTGTTATCCATGTTGTATCATATTGCAGAATTTCCTTCCTTTTTGACATTGAGTAACATATATGTGATTAAGCAAACTGTGCAATACAGAGGTGAAATAAATAAAAAGGCAAACATATATGCATGTATATTTCAGTTTGCTTATCCATTCATCTGTCAACTGACTGGGTTACTTCCATGTTTTAATGATTGTGATCAATGCTGCTCTAATCATGGGTGTACAAATATTCTTTCTGAGACTTTGCTTTCAGTTCTTTGGTGTATATACCCCAAGGTGGAATTGCTGGACCATACCGTAATTCTATATCTAATTGTTTCAAGAAGTGCTACATTGTTTTCCATAACAGCCACACCATTTTACATTCCCACCAGCAATGCACAAGGGTTCCAATTTCTCCTCATCCTTGCCAACACTTATTTTCTGGTTTGTCTCTTTGTTTTTTGATAAAGCCATCATAATGGTTGTGAAGTGGTGTCTCGGGGTTTTGATTTCCATTTCCCTAGCAATGAGTGATTCTGATCATCTTTTTATGTCTTACTGGCCGTTTGTTTATTTCCTTTGGAGAAATACATATTGAAGTCCTTTTCCATTTTTAAACTGGAGTGTCCTTTGTTAGTTGAGTTTTAGGAGTCTACTACTTTATATTCTGGATTTGAATTCCATTATAAGATACAGTATTTGCAAATATTTTCTCCCATTCTCAGGTTTTTCTTTTTTTTTTTTTAATGAAGTTTGTTCTGTAAATTCTGTTGATAGTGTCTTTTGATGCATACGTTTAAAATTTTCAGTAAGTCCATGTATCTATTTTTCTTTTTGTTTTCTTTGCGTTTGGTATAGCTACCAAATCCAATCCAGTATCATGAACTCCTGTCCTATGTTGTCTTCCAAGAGTTTTACTGTTTTGGGGTCTTAACGTGTAGGTCTTTGGTCCACTTGGAGTTAATTTTTGTATGATATCAGAGAAGGGTCTAACTTAATTCCTTTGCATATTGATATCTAGTTTTCCCAGCACCATTTATTGAAAAAATTGCTTTCCCCCGAGTGAATGTCTTGACACCTTTTTCAAAAGTAATTTGATCACATTTACAAGGATTTATTTTGGGTCTCTATTCTATTCCATTTATTTACTTTATGTCTGCTTTATGCCAGTACCATGCTGTTTGGTTACTTAGTAACTAACAGGTGTGTGTGTGTGTGTGTGTGTGTGTGTGTGTGTGTAATCTTTACGGTTTTCTACGTATCAGATTATATCATCTGCAAACAGAGATTATTTTACTTATTCTTTTTTAACTTGGTTACCTTTTATTTCCTTTTCTTGACTAGCTGCTCTGGCTACAACTTCCGAATAGAAGTGGTAAAAGCAGGAATTCATGTCTTGTTCCTGGTCTTAGAGGAAAAGTTTTCAGTCTTACACCATTGGGTATGATGTTTGCTATAGGTTTTTTATATGGCTTTTATTATGCTGAGGTACTTTTCCTTTAGTCCTAGTTAACTGAGTGTATTTTTTTCACAAAAAGGTGTTGAATTTTGTCAAATGCTTTCTTTCATCGATTGAGGTGATCATGGGTTTTTCCCCTTCGTTTTATTAACGTGGTGTATTATAATGATTGATCTCTGTATCTTGAATTACCCTTGCATTTCATGAATAAATTCCACTTGGTGATGGTGTGTAATACTTTGAATATTTTGCTGATTTTGGTTTGCTAGTACTTTGTTGAAGAGTTTTGCATCACTGATCACAAGGGATATTGGTCTGTAGTCTTCTGGTAGTGTCTTTGGGTATGGTATGAAGTTAATGCTGGTCTTATAGAATAAGTTAGCAAGTTTTCTCTCCTCTTTAATATTTTGGAAAAGTTAGTTCTTCTTTAAATGGTAGAATTTGTCAAGAAGCTGTTGGGTCCAGGGCTTTTCTTTGACAGGAAATTTAAAAATTACTGATTCAATCTCCTTACCAGTTATAAGTCTGCTCAGGTTTCCTGTTTCTTTGTGATTTAGTCTTGGTAGGTTTTGTGTTTTTAGGAAGTTTCCCACGTCATCTAGGTTATCCAGTTGGTTGGAGTACAACTGCTCATTAGTTCTCTCTCACAGTCCTTTTTGTCTCTATAGAATTAGTACTAATGTCCCCATTTTCGTGTTCATTTTAGCAATTTGAATCTTTTTTCCTTAGTCCATCATAGCTACAGGTTTGTAATTTTGTGGATCTTTTTGAGAAATGAACTTTAAAAAAAAATTTTTTTTTTTGAGAGAGAGCGATTACATGCAAGTAAGGGAGACAGGCAGAGAGAATCTTAAGCAGGCTCCACACTCAGTGCCGAGTCTGACCCAGGGCTCAATCTCATGACCCTGAGATCATGACCTGAGGTGAAATAAAGAGTTGGATGCTCAACTGACTGAGCCACCCAGGCGCCCTCAGAAACCAACTGTTTCATTTATCTTCCCTAATATTTTTTAGTTCTCTATTTATCTTTGCTCTAACATATGGTCTTTTCTTCAATCTTTGTTCTTTTGGTTCCTCAAACTCAATAATTTCCATCGTCCTATTTTCAAGTGCAGTATCTTTTCTTTGCCTAGTCAAATCTGCCTTTGAATCCCTCTGATGAATTTCTCATTTTAGTTATTGTACTTTTCAACTCCAGAATTGTGTGTGTGTGTGTGTGTGTGTGTGTGTCTGTGTGTGTGGTTTCTTAGGCTATTGACATATCCGTTTGATTCATACACCGTTTTCTCGAATTTCCCCCACAGCTTCCTTTTAGTTTTTTGAGCATCTTATAAGGCAGCTGTTTAAGGTCTGTCTAGTTTATCTGCCATTAGGTCTTTTTCAAAGACTTGTTTTTAGGTTTCTGTTGATTCACTTTTTTCTTCTGAAGGGGCCATGTTTCCGTTTCTTTGTATGCCTAGCAATTTGTTTAAAACTGGACATTGGACTCTAATACTGTGGTAACCCAGGAAATCAGTTACTAGCCTCCCCCACCCAGGGTTTGCTGGGGGGTTGTTATTGTTTTTGTATTTTGATGGTTGTGGGCTGTCTCTGTGCTGAGGATAAGCCAGAGGTATAAACTTTAGGTCTCCTTACGTCTTTTCTGAGTCTTTCCCTGGGGATGCATGGTCACTTTCTGATTTCCCCCATATATGCAGTTGCTTTTTAATATCCTAGTTTTTAATATCTGGCTCCCAAAAGGGGCAATATTTGAATGGGGAGGGGGAAGGCAGTGTAGCCTAAGGAGGAGGGGCTTGAAACAATGGGGGAGGCTAAACATTAACTGCAATTTACCACCCAAATCCTCCTCTGGAAGTTGGAGCCTTGATAGACTCCAGAGTTCTACAAAAGTTGCATGAAATTCTGCCAGTGTAATGGCCGTCCAGGTCAGGAGATGGATTCCGGGTGCCTCTTCTCTGCCATCTTCCCAGCATCCCCTCTAAAGACTTCATTCCATCTCACAAGGTTCAGTCCATAAGGCTCTCAATATTATTCTAAGTATTTTCTAATTCTCTATATGGTACCTTCTTTGATCAATGAATTATTTTAAAGTGTGTTTTAAAATTTCCAGACCTATAGGCTTTCTCCCTCCAGGTTATTTTTTTATGGTCCTTCAATTACATTGCAGACATAGTCTATATGATGGCACTCTTTTGGTATTTATGTTTACAAATATTCCATGTACTTGAGAAAACAAACATTCCTTGAACGTTGGGTTAAGATTTCTATATATATCTATCAAATAAAAAAGAAATAGAAAATCTGGTTAGATCTATAATGAAAGGGGCTGAACTGGTAGCCAACTCAGAAGAATGGTATTAGAGAAGCAGAAAAACCAACGAATTATGTTCTCTGTTCTGCATTAAGGAGACCTGGCAAGTCTCTCTTCTTTTTTTTTTTTTTAACAGAAACATAAAGCTTTTTATAAGCAGGCCATATAGAAACTGGGAGAAGAAAACTACAACATGCTTTGTGGTAGAAATGATTTGACATAAAAATTTATTTATTTGATCATATTTTAAAAAGCAGGGCAGAATCACATTCATTTCCTTCATAATATCACTGTAAACAGACTGGACTTCTGAGCCCCTCGTTTGCTTTGGAAACTTCCAAAGGGCTGACCACCAGCAGCCTAGCAAGCCTCTTCCTTCCCTTCCAGGCTCTCCACCTCTACAAGGGGGTGCGGGTGACAAAAGATGCTAAGAAAACAGCATGTGGTTGAGCTCGCTAAACCATTCTCACCTCCTTCCACAGGCAACAGGGTGACTGACGGGCTTATTTTTTATCTGAAGTCACTGAGTAAGGAAACAGGTTTCAAAAGAAGAATGGAGGGAAGTTTCCAGGGTAGAGAATTTCCCCGAGTTAGGAATAGAAGGATGGGCTCAGAGCTTAACTGGTTAGTCCCTTCTGCTGATCAGAGAGGGATTTGCTAGCCAGGGGTCTCAGATCTCTGATCCACTGAGACATCAGTACAGGCACTCAGTTCCTTTGATTAAAATGTGTTGGCAAAGCCAGCTCTGAGTAGAGAAGTAGTTTATTACAACGATGGTGCTACAAGAGGAAGATCAAAGCAGCAAAGAGAAGACAGTTCTGCCTGGGCTCCTGTGGTCACTCCACTCCTGTCAGTTTTATGGTCCAGCCGAAGTCAATTGGGAGGGTAAGGAGTGGTACGTTGGGCAGATAAATAAGCAGACCGCCTTCTGGATTTGTAGACCATTTCAGATCTTTCTGGATCCCCAGCATCGTTATCTGCAGAAAAGTCATAGGGAATGGAATGCACGTCAGTGCACGGAGTATGGACTGCGGCTGGACGTGACGGGAGAGAGTCACCCTGGGCCAGGGCAGGCCGGATGGGCTAGAGGGGGAACGGGAACGGGGGGAAGCCGGGGAAGAAGGGCAGAAACAGAGATGGCCTCCAATTCCTTAAAAAAAAGTTTCCTCTGAGAGGCTCCTTACCTGTGTAGTCGAGGTAGTTATGGGGGATACTAGGCTTAAGACTCCATTTTCTGGCCAGTGCAGGAAAATGGCATAGACAGTTGTTCCTCTTGAGGTATACCTGGGGGAAAAAGGAAACATCATTGTCAGAAATACCTGGCCTGTTACCCTGACACGTAGCGTTACACATCTCCCTTTTATGATCTACTGATTCCAAGACCCTGAGCCTGTCACTGCGGCTGGAAGTGCTACTAACTCGGATACCAGTTCAGGTTTGTGGGAAGAAAAGAAAGTAGCCTTGTAAGGCTCCTTCTGGTGATCCCTTCCACTTTCCCACTCTACTGGGCTAGGAATTTTCCTCATTTTAACGCTTATACTAGTTTATATCACCTTGAGTCCATCTCCCTTATTATTAAAAATTTTTTTCAACCTCAAATCCATGGGAGAACATCAGAGGGCCTAACAAGGGCAAGATGCACAACAAAGACGCATTTGTTCTGAGAGGCCACCGGGCTTAGAGAAGAGGATGAAAATCACTAAGTAGAAATTCACTCAGAACGGAAGGGTGAGTGTGTTTCCCTGACCCAAAGACCAACGCTCTGTGGCAGGACACCTGCGGTACCTTTCACTGAACACTGTGTACACACGCTGGGCACGCTCTCAGGCGCTTTGCCTAAGTGTCTCACGTAACCGTCACAGCAACCCCAGGAAGTTAAGTATCTTCGCCCCCTACTTTGCACTTGAAAAACACAGGCCCAAGATCACATAACTAGATCTGAAATTCCAAGTCTGAATCACAACTTCTCCACTAGTTCGCTTTGTGATCCGAGGTTAAGTATAGAATTGCCCTGGGCCCCCTTCTCACTTGTAACAGGAGGATAATAACTGCATCCACTGGGTGGGGCTGTTGAAGGGACTCTGTGAATGGGAAGAATTTGGATTGGAGACTTACACACTGTAGGGGCTGTGTAAGCATTAGCTGTTACTATTTTTAGGAGATAGGATAACATGGTCAAAGTATTAACAGATGCTTTGTACCTCTTTCTCTCACCATGCCCACCACACCCCTCACTAGTCAAACATATACACTGGGGTGCAAACTTAATAGCAAAAGAATGGTTCTGGGATATCCTCAATCAAGACGGCTTCCAGCCTGGCTTGTAACACTGTGGACCCGAGGAGACGCCGGTTCGGGACAGGCCACAGTCCTATTCCCGCATGCCACGGAGGACACACTCACCACACAGATGTCGTGTTCTTCTCCAGTTGCACCCTCCAGGGCTTAGAGGAATAGATGGCCTCCCCATTGATGCTCAGCCACTTCCCAACAGCAAGAAGCCTTTCTTGGAAGATGGGAACAATCAGTCCGTCTTTAGTGGGCCCGATGTTGAGAAGGTAGTTGCCTCCCAAGCTTACTGTCTGAACCAGTTCCTGGAGAGCAGAAACAGGGAGACCCTAGCTACCAGTGCCAAGCCCAGCGCGATGCTTAGTGCACATGGGCATTAAGACAAGAAAAAGTATCTAACATTCTCTCCTTTGGTGAATATCCTTTACCCTTTTGAAAATGCTATATATTTTTTGAAATGGGCTATGTAGCGTGGGTGGCTCTGTGGGTTAAACATCCGACTTGGGCTCAGGTCATGATCTCACGGTTCGTGGGTTCGAGCCCCGCGTCGGGCTCTGTGCTGACAGCTAGCTCAGAGCCTGGAGCCTGCTTCGGATTCTTCTGTATCTCCCTCTTTCTCTGACCCTCCCCGACTCATGCTCTTTCTTTCTCTCTCACAAATAAACAAACATTAAAAAAAAAAAAGAAATGGGCTACATAAATGTATATGCTGCCTCTTTGGGAAAACATGCTGTAAAGAAATATATTCTTCAAGGCTCTGGAGTGGTGTGTGTATGTGTGTGTGTGTGTGTGTGTGTGTGTGTGTGTTTACTATGACCTCCAACAGGTGCCCTTCAAGGAGGCCCAGAAAAATTATGGCTACACTCATAAAATTTTAAAGAAGAGAATTTGTTAGATATGTCAAAGACCCTATACCACCAACTTGACACTCCCTTCTGGTCTTTTTTCTTATGCAGCGGAAATATAGTTTATATAGTTGAGATAATTCATAACTTATTTTTTCACACAATCCCTAGGCACTGACCCAGCATTACATTCATAAACATTATAATGGTTAAGGAGAATCCCCAAATCTACTTAAATACCCCTTTATGGCTGCAAGAGATGAAAACAACCCACGCGTCCAACTGCAAAGAATCCTGGGAAGAACATCTCTGTACGTAACATCTTCTCCTGTAGTTACAATGACTTCCTGAGGACAGGTTTCCGAGGGTGTGTTCAACGACCCCAGTGGGTTCTAGCGACCCGCACTGCCATCCAGGGTGCTCCCCCCACTCTTAGCCAGAAGGCTCGTTTGAGAGGGTAGTTAGCAGACACCTGGCTCCTACGTGCTCTTACCGAAATGATCTCACACTCGGTTGCAACTTCAGACACCACCATGTTGCGACGATAGCCCCAGGAGCTCCTGTCCACGGAGCTGCACATTTCCCACTTGTGATCCGGCAAGCTCTGGGGCTTGAATTTATCTTGACAGTTGTAGTATCCTCCGTGGTGGCAGGAACAGTTCTGACCCCACCGGTCATTTACCACTATCTTGTCCTAAAGGGAGAGAGAGAGCACTGGCTCACGGAGGTGAAACCACTTAGCTTCCTTACATAATGCAGTTTGGTAAATTAGGAACGTTCTTGGACGGAAGGAACTGACTTGGCCTAGAACAGTGGTTCCCGATCGGGGGCTATTCTGCTCTGGAGACTTTTGCAAAATCTAGAGACAGTTTCGGTTGCCACAATTGGAGTGGTGCTACTGCTATGTAGTGGGTTGATTTAACTAATTTAACTAATATGTATTATGTGCCTACCTGGCTAAGTACTGTTCTTGGGGCTGGGGATATAGCAATGAATAGACCCAAAACCCTGCCTTCAGAAAGCTGACGCTTTTGTGAGAGAGACAGTTAACAGACATCTGTAAAGTAACATCTGAAAAACGTGAAGCCAGGTAAGTGCTAAGGGGAAGAGCCGGCAGGGAGAGGCAGGGGCGCTGCCCTTTCGGACAGGGTGACAAAGAAGGCAGCACTGAACTGGTGGGCTCTGGCGCAAGACTGGGGGAAGTGCAGGGGGGAGCCATGTGGGAACTGCGGACAGAAGGAACAGCAAGGAAGAGGAAGTTCCCCTAAAAGTACTTTCCTAGGATAAGCATGGGTCCGAAATAACCCTCCTTCCTAATCCATGAGACAGTGTGGAATGAGAGTGAGCCGAACAGGGTCTGCAGTGCCGCGCCCAAGGGTGCATGCACATCTGAGCCGGCCCAGCCTGAGCACCCTTGCAGAAAGCCCGTGAAGCCGGGCCACTAAATCCCTCCACATTGGGCAAATCCCAGAAAACCACTCTTCGTTTCTCTCGGTCACATAGGTTCTTCCTTTTTTACTTTCTAAATTTAGTAACAGTTACGCAGTAAGATCCTTAGAGGTTAATGAATCTACCAAGAGAGCTCAGTATAAACTGGTCTTATGCTTGAGTTTTTCTTTAAAATCCACGACAAATCCGGAATATGTAGAAGTATTAAGTTTTTGTGCGGGGAAGATTCAGGCTTCTGTGACTCTGTAAGTGTGCTGAAATACAAACTAGAAACGGGCAGCTACAGTGACATAGTGCTGGATATGGAGTGGGGGGAGGGGGAGGACGAGGAGGAGGGGGAGGGGAGGGGGAGGGAGGCAAAGTTCCCTCAAGAATTTGGATAGAAGGGAAATGAAATTTCCTTGAGACTTAAACTACATAACCAATACAGACTAGGTGCAGTCATAAAAATATATCTTATTCCTATCATTTAATTTTATATGTTTTGTCTAGTAATTTTGGGGGGGCTGTTTCTTTATTTATAATGTTCGTGTGCTTAATAGTTTACTTTACTTTCTCTGGGATTTCTACATATTGCTTCTGTCAAAATCAAGAATTAAAGGTGGCTCAGTCTGTTGAGCGCCCGATTTCAGCTCAGGTCATGATCTCACAGTCTGTGAGTTTGAGCCCCACTGTGGGCTCTGTTCTGATAGCTCAGAGCCTGGAGCCTGCTTGGGATTCTGTGTCTCCCTCTCTCTCTGCCCATCTCCCACTCGTGCTCTGTCTCTCTCTCTCAAAAATAAATAAGCATTGGGGCACCTGGGTAGCTTAGTTGGTTAAGAGTCTGACTTCGGCTCAGGTCATGATCTCACATTTGTGGGATGAGCTCCATGTCAGGCTCTGTGCTGACAGCTCGCTCAGAGCCCGGAGCCTGCTTCAGATTCTGTGTCTCCCTCTCCGACCCTCCCCTGCTCATGCTATCTCTATCTCTCTCTCAAAAATAAATAAAACATTAAAAAAATTTTTTAAATAAATAAGCATTAAAAATTTTTTTAAAATCAAGAATTAGAGAAGAAAAAGAAAAGCTTACATTCGAAGGGGGGGGGGGGGGGGGGGGGGGGGTGGGGGAGGAGGGGGGAGGAGAAACCTTTATTAGCCATGAAGTTCCCTGGTCCCTACCACCTCCATGTTGCTATTAGTATTTATTATTGTTGCTGTTGTCACTGTTAGTACTCCAGATCTTGGCTCCTTACTCTTTCTTTTCTCATAACAGGCAAATAAAAGAGAAGTCATACAATCACATGCCTTGACCGGACTATCATTGTAGAGCCAAGAAAGAAACTCTGTAGAATTCCAGTAAGTATCAGGACATTCCCACTCTCCATCAGACCAAATCAAGTCAGGTTCATACCTGGAAGATACACAATTAGGAAAGTTTATCATCTGAATCTGTTCACAGTAAGGTCTTACGGATCTATTTTGTAACACACATTTAAAAAATTTCTCCCATTTTGAAAGTACCATAAAATTACATGGTGCAGAGAATGTGGAAGACTAAGGAGACACAAATAACAACTCTAACTGTTATGGTTTCTCACATAACCGCTATTTAATATACGATGCTTTGGTATATTTCCTCCTAATCTTTTTACAATGTCTTCTGAAAAAGAGTTGTAATCAGCATATACACAATCTGGTTTCCTTCCAGCAACTACTTCCAATCAAAAGAGCGGTGCTCTAGAACTATAGGATTAAACTGCTTTTAAGATGTATTAAGAACCTCAGGGCGCCTGGATGGCTCAGTTGAGCATTGGACTTCAGCTCAGGTCAGGATCTCATGGTCCGTGAGTTGAAGCCCCACCTCAGGCCCTGTGCTCACAGCTCAGAGCCTGGAGTCAGAGTCTGGAGCCTGCTTCAGATTCTGTGTCTCCCTCTCTCTCTGCCCCTCCCCCACTCACACTTGGCCTGTCTCTCAAAAATGAATAAATGTTTAAAAAAAAAAAAAAAAAAAAAGATCCTGAACTATTCCACCAAACACATTGTTCTGGACAACTACCACAGCTTCAACTATAAAGGATCTTTTGAGTCCACTTGAGCCATAGCGGCCACCTCTCACATTTTGACACTCTGAGCTCCATGTGGCGTGGGCCCATGCACACACGCACCTGGAACGTAAGCATGATTATTCTCATTTAGAGAGCAAGAACCTGATGCTCAGCAGGCCAGTGTGTTTTAGGCGGCAAAGCTTGTAAGTAACAGGAGCTGGAGCTCCAATGCAAGTGTACCCGATGCCTGATCCTGTGCCATGCTCTGTAAGCAGGACGGCAAGCAGACCTAATGCAGACGGTCTGTGTCTTACTGTGTAAGAGAAACGGTACTAGGCACTTTGCACTCACTACCTCATTAGTTTTCACGACAACCCTGCAGTGTCTATTAACCTCATTCCATGGATAAAGAAACTGAGATCTAAGAAGATTAGGAGTTTGTTCAAGGCCCTACAGCCAGCAAGAAAAAGAGCTGGATTTCAGATCCAGTTCTGTCTGACTCCAAACCTCTGCTGGTCTCTTACGACTGTACTCTTTCCTTTGGGAAGTCATTTGGATGCAGGGAGTTTTGTTTTTTTTGGTCTAAAATGAGAGTCCAGGCAGAGATGGCTGCCTCTAGGGTTTAAAGGTCCACCATGCTCTGCGAGGCAGCAGGCTCAGGTGCGAGAAGGGCAAACTAGAAATAAAACATGCTGAAGACTAGGGACGAACCCCAATGTGAAAGTGGCCACTTTAATGATAATAATGATAATGTCACCCTTATTCTGGTACAGGCAAGGTGACAGATACTTTCCACATATTATTTGGAGTCTTATATAAAAGGCATAATTTCCCTACTTTAGAGTAAGAATCTGAGGCTCAGAAGGGGAGTCATTCAAGGCTTGGAACAAGAGGCAGGATTCAAATGCAAATCTGCCAGATGCCAAATCCAAGCAGGGTCCTTTGGGCCTGGAGGCACAAGGTCCCAACAAAGAAAATAGCATGTAAAGAGGGATGGAAGTTTTGACTTAGCCACCATCCCTGGTTTTGTATATAAGGTAATTATGACCACATTATGGGAGTTTTGAGGAGTAGAGGAAGAAAAAAATATATTGTCTTAATACAAACTACCATTTTTATTTTGGTGTCTTGTAGATTTTTTTTTTCATATTCCTTCCTTTCCCCCCAATTTAACAGTATCCTATAGGAAGCTCTAATTTCACTGATAAAAGTCATAAATCCCCCTCCAAAAAAAATTTTTTTTTTACCTGTAAACAAGGTCATACAGTTCTGGCATTGTTTTTGCACGGACAAAATGCTGTGTTTTGAAGCCATTTTTCTTATCAAGTAAGTAGAGTGGGTGGAACCATTCTAAAAGCGAGTGATAAAGTCCATAACGTATGTTCCTGAAACAGAAAAAGAGAATAGCACTTGCCCATTAAGCAAAGAAAAAATAATTTAGTTTAAGAAAAATCAGCAGCAGCATTTTTACGTCCCAGTGAAACTCACCTGTGAGGGTGAATGGGCACTGGGATCCCAAACCATTTCCTTAAATTATGTCTTATCATTAGCGTAAACAAGACAATTGGGTTTTTGATAACACACGTGACTACTTTTTATACCTAACTAACACCAAATGTTATTTATTAAACCCTCTTTTACCTATGTCCATTATCTCAGTAATGACATATAATTCTTTTTTAAAAACTGTTTTCTCTGTCAGCAGTTAAGAATACATATTTTAGAGACACTAGAAAATAGAAAAAAGTATAAAGAATATCCAAAATCTTATTACTCAGAAACGATCACTAGTAATGTTTTCTATATAGTTGAAACTAATGAATGTAGGTTTATTGTTTCACTTACCTAAGATTTACTAATAGTTCTTAACATTGAAATGTTAAGAATTCTTAACCAAAATGAAAAAGGATCAAAGTGACCTATTTTCGGACACAATAAAACTTGTTTTGTGTTATAAATGGTGAGTGTCACAGAAATGCTATACTGCAGTAAGAAGTAAGATAACATTGCAACAGCACAAAGATAAGGCAGAAAGAATCAGAGTTAAGTGTTTCATCATATGACTTGAGGCCTAACTAGGTACAAAGAAGGTCAAAATCAAGGATGGCAAAATCCAGATTTAATCAACATCTCAAGAGTTTTACAGCAGGGCGCTGAGCCAAGCACAGCACCGGGAGACTGAATACTGCTCAGGTGAACAGAGCCAGCCAACACTTTCTTTATGGCCCACACAGCACTTTGGGCTTTGTGGGCCTCATGGTCTCTATCTCAACTCTGAAACTGTAGCTTGAAGCGGCCACAGACATAACACATAAATGAATGGGCATAACTGTGTTCCAATCAAACTTTACTTATACGAATAGGCAGCTGGCCTGCCCCTTAAACAGGGATTTAGCAAATCACAAAGGAGCAGGATTGGGCAGGGTACAGATACCACTTTTCCTCTCTACACGCAAACATACCTAGAACTGTAGGGCACAAAACCAGGATAACGGGGTTCAAATCTCACCTCTGCCATTTCCTGCTCTTTGATCTTGGGAAGTTATCTTTTTTCTTTAATGTTTGTTTATTTAGAGAGAGAGAGAGAGAGAGCACCAGCAGGGGAGGGGCAGAGAGAGGGAGAGAAAATCCCAAGCAGGCTCCGAGCTCTCAGCACAGAGTTAGACGTGGGGCTCAATTCCAGGAACCGTGAGATCTTGACCTGAGCCGAAATCGAGTCTGATGCTTAACTGGCTGAGCCTCCCAGGTGCTCTTGGGAAAGTTACTTCTTATTAAGTTGACAAATATTAGGGAGCATTAATTAGAATCAACCAAGAGGCTCCTAACCTCACTGTTTGGCTGCTCTAATTGCCCTTTTCAGTAAGTTCCGTCTTGATCTACCCTTTATCCAAACTTTCTCTGACTGCCTGCCAAGCTCTATGTTGACAGACTAAGGTGGACACAGAGCTGACAGACCCGGTCCTTCATCAGCCACTAGAGTAGGCCTTGGGTTGCCAGACCTTCCAGAAAGAATCCTTCACAGAATGCAAATGAGGCATTGTGGTCTAGCTGGGTATCCTTCACCTTCACAAGGCCATGAACTTCCCTCACGGTGTCATGAAAAGTTTTGTATGAAAAGTGCTGAGCATCAAACACGGTTAGTTCAAAGGCCAGAGCGCTGCGGGTTACTGGCTAAATGCAAACTTAGAGGCGGCGGCACAAGAGTGGAGAGAAAGGATATATCAAAAGAGACGACACAGAAACCATCTGTAGATACATCCTTACCGCTTCCTGACAGCTTTTCCCAACTCACCAACCAAATCGCGGTGGGGACCCACATCCTCGGAGTTCCAGTTCCAAGACACAGGACTCGGCCAGTTAGTGAAGCCTTCGTGATGCTTTGTTGTCAAGACTACGTATCTGTGGACATCAAAGCTACATGAGCAAAGCAAGCAGGTAGCGGACCATAAGCGTGAACTTAACCAGCCTGCCTGAGGGTTTTAGAAATGGTCAGGAGAACTTGATTACAGGTAATGTGTGCAGGAGTGACTGCATTAGCTACACCCAGGGAGTTGCTGCAGTCACAACTGCCCTTGGGGAGTTCTAGGAATGGAAGCGGACTTAAGGAAGACAAGTCTTTAGTCCCCAGCCAAAGAGGAGGCCCAGAGGGAAGGGAGGAGTAGGTAAGGGAAAAGAAGTGCACCTTAGCTCTCTGGTCCTGGAAATAGCAGATGATAGAAAAGTAAAAGCAAAGGCCACCTGAATTGCCTCTCACTTACAGAGGTGACAAAAGACCAAAAGCCAAGGGGAGACAAGTAAGTGTTGAAATAACAACCAAATCACTCAACATCTCATTTGCTTTAATGGCAGAAAAAGAGAGGAAGCCAGCACGTGATCATCTAATCGCTGGGCTGGCTGTAGCACGGAGCTCCAGGACTTGAAGGGCCAGATAGTACTTCAGCCTTTGTGGCCCCCATTTCTCTCCGTAGCATATTCTTTTTCTTTTTTAAACCCTTTTAAAATGTAAAACTCATTTTCCTCTCATGGAACTTACAGAATCAGAGAGAGGACCCATCTCTCTGGCCACAGCATGCAGACCCCTGGTGTGGTGGAAAGAACCTTCGCGTTGGAGTCCTGAGATTTGGATGTAGGGCATTAGTTTCCTTCCTCTGTCTGGGCTAATCAGCTGGGCCACAAAATAAGGGGTCTGGACAAAGGATGTCTCCCAGATTTTAATTTTTTGTCATTTGTAAATTACGGATCCCCAAGTCTCCTATTAGACAGTGACCACCACCTCCATTGATTCAAGCCTTATATTCCCATATATTTATTGGCAAACGCTATTAAATATCAGCTGTAATTTTTCCTTAGTACAAAAGAACTTGTCCAAGAGAAACTAAAACCCAGAGATGACGGAGGAGGCAGGTAAGGGTGGAAGGCCACTCTAGGCAGGAGTCGGGAAACTTCCCTGCCGCCATTCTTACCCTCTTCCAACCTGCTTCCTTCCTGGCCAAGCTAATTCTTCTAGAAGCTGAAGGGAACCATCCCCTGACTTCACATACTGCCCTCCTGGATGAGTCCTTCAGGACTGGCCCCGGCCTTTAACAGCCTCCCCCTTCCCCATTTCAGCACGCCACACTCTCGCTTCTCTGAACCGACCGCACTCAAGCTCCAACAGTTGTCAAAATAGTTCAGACATTTCCCGAGCACTTTTCTGTGCGCAGGGCATTGAGAAGAGCAGGTGACTGAGAACCGATACTGTTGTCCAAACGGACTGCACACCAGCACTCCCTTCCCCTTCCCTTCCCGGGCCGGGAAGTCGAGCTCCGCTGGTCCCCGCGGCGACACTCACTTGGCCCCGGCCGCCTGGAAGAGATCGGCCCAGGTGTCCGGGTGGAAGAAGCGCGCGGTGAACTGCGGCCCGAAGTCGGCGTAGCTGAAGCCGGGCGGGTAGTTGTCGCTCATGAACTGCTTGTACTGCGGCAGCCCCTCGCCCTTCCAGTGCCACCAGAACCACTCGCTGCCCCAGGCCGGCACCGAGAACACGCCCCAGTGCACGAACACCCCGAACTTGGCCTTGTCGAACCACTCCGGCAGCGGCCGGGAGTCCAGACTCTCCCAGTCTGGGGTGTAGCGGCGCCGATGTGGGCCCCCGCGCACACATGCGGCCCGGAGCAGCACCAGCAGCAGCAGCACCACCAGCCGGGTGCCCACCGCCCCCGACCTCATCTCCGAGAACTGAGTCGCTGCTGCCTCAGAGCCTCTTCTCCGCCTCTTAACGCGCAGGTGCGGGCCGCCCGGTTCCGCCCACTCTAGCTAATGATTGGCTCGGAAGGGAAAAGGGGCGTGTCAACCTAGGCAGCTCGGAGAGCGTCTTCCCCTTCTCCGCGGCCGTTCCTGCAGCGCCCTCTGGCGCTCAAAGGGAGAAAAACGCAAAGCGCCGTTGACCGAGATCCGCTGTGGGTCCAAGGGTACTTGAGGAAAGGAAATCACAGCTGGGTTAAATCGTGAGGGTGTGGAAGTCCCGGTGAGTGCTGAGAGCTGGGACTAGTGCATTTTGTCATTTGCAGCCGTAGGTGACTTTTTGAACATGAATGCAGAGGAGCAAGCCTGGAGGCAGGAATGCCAGATGGAAGGGCATCGTGACAGCCCAGGCGGAAATGCAGGGCTAGAGGGATGGCAGAAGCATTGCCAGGGAAGAGGAGGCGGAAGAGCGGGACCTGAGAAAGGAAGAGCCTCTGTGAACACTGTGCCCGTCTAATATTTCTTGGACTTGCTTTGAGAATTCTGATGCAATTCAAAGAGCGTAATATCTAACTGGAAAAGTGAGACCCTAGAGAACAAACTGAGGGCGGCTAGAGGGGCTGTGGGTGGGGGGATGGGCTACCTGGGCAAGGGGCATTGAGGAAGACACTTGTCGGGATGAGCACTGGGTGTTATACATAGGGGATGAATCACTGGCATGTGCCCCTGAATCATTATTGCGCTGTATGCTAACTTGGATGGAAATTTTATAAACAAACAAAAAACAGTACCCGCAAACAGGCTGTCACTAAGGAATGTTTTTAGAATAGCAGGGTGAGAAAATTGAGAGCCCCAGGCCCAAGGGGTGCCCGTGTCAATGTAGTCCAGGGATGTCACCAGTTCCTGTACAATTTTACGTTCTGTGTGCCCAAGCAGGAGGTGAGGCCAGCCGGTGGGGGAAGTCCCATGACCCCATGTGGCACAGCTAGACCCCATGTATCAGTGAGAGAGCTGCGGCACATTAGAGTTTGAAGGGACTTTGGAGATCCTGGAAACTATCAGCTTCCCTACTCTTTCCATTGTGTGGAGAAGGAAACTGAGAGCCAGAGAGGGGACTGGGGTCTCCCCCAATCACAAGGCTAGTTTGAGCCGGGGGTGGGACCAGAATCCCGGTCTCCAGATATGGCGTCTGTGCCTCTCTACAGCCTGCGTCTCTCTTGCACCCTGGGAGGGGTTGGAGCCTATGTTGACAGAACCAAGCACTTCCTCATTCAAGGAGTGAAAGGAAACACAATGGCTGCTGGTGATTGAACAGCTTTTTTATTTTCTGTGTTTCTTTCTCTGCAAGATTATGTTAAAATAGTGCCCAGAACAGTAAGCATGGACAACTTTGAAAAACAAAACCAAACCCATTTGCACATATCTTCTAGTGATCAGCGTGGATAATGGTCTTTGACATTATGGAACTCATCTTGGAAAAGATAAAATGGAACACTGTGACCTTCACTTCTCCTTATTCTCATACCAAAAGTAAATCTGCAGGGACAAGTGAGAGGCGTGGTAACCGGTGGATAAAACCGGAAGTTGGGAGACCTGCGTTTTTGGCACTGGGTATCACCTTATTGGCTCATCTTGGGCAAGTCTTGTCCCCTGTCTGGGCCTGTTCCCTCATCTAAATAATGAGGACAGTTCTCAGTGATATACAGGGCTCCTTTCCCCACTTGCTCTCCTCTTCCATAAACTCTAGTTCTTTACTTAGAGCAGAAATTGAGTGTGAATGTAAAAAGAGAGAGGTAGAAAGTGTGGAAGTGCAAGTGATTTATTTATTTAAAAATTTTTTTTAATGTTTTATTTATTTCTAGGAGAGAGAGAGAGAGAGAGAGAGAGAGAGATAGAGACAGCGTGAGCAGGGGAGGGTCAGAGAGAGAGGGAGTCACAGACTCTGAAACAGGCTCCAGGCTCTGAGCTGGCAGTCAGCACAGAGCCTGACGCAGGGCTCGAACCCAGGAACCGCGAGATCATGACCTAAGCGAAAGTCGGATGCTTAACCGACTAAGCCACCCAGGCGCTCCCAAATGATTTTTTTAAAATGTTTATTTTTGAGAGAGACAGAGAGAGAGAGACAGACAGAGCCTGAGTAGGGGAGGGAAAGAGAGAGGGGGAGACACAGAATTTGAAGCAGGCGTCAGGCTCTGAGCTGTCAGCACAGAACCCCTCGCAGGGCTCATACTCACAGACTGTGAGATCCTGACCTGAGTCAAAGTCAGACACTTGACCGACTGAGGTGCCCCAGTGCATATGATTTTCAAACTCTAGTTTTATTTGTTAAACAATAAATATCTGCACAATTCGTGCCAGGCACTTGGGCATTTTCTTTGTGAAAATGAGAAAAGACCCCACCAATGATTAAAGAAAGGCATGCCCAAACTTTAAGGAACCACAAATTCACCTTGAAAAAGTCATGCCATGCTTTTGCCTTCCACAAAGATAGGTATCTGGGTTAAAAGAAAGTTTGATTTTCCAAAATGCTTTTCAGGAGCCGTTTGGTTCCCCAGATATTGACTGGCCCTCTTGGGGCACTATGCTGGGTTGTCAGGGAGCACTGGAGGCCAGGAGGTGAATGTGCAGCTCACCTCGTGGGTGGGTGGGGGAACTAGCCAGTGACTGCCACTTAACACAGTCCATGATATGGGCTATAACAGAAGGGTGGGATTTGTCCTCGGGGACTGTACTGAGTTGAATAATGGCTGCCCCCAAACCTCAGGTACACTCAGAACCGGTGAATATTTCCTTATTTGGACATAGCCTTTGTAGGTGTCATTTGTTAAATTATGATGAGGTCATACTGGATCAGGATGTGCCTTTAATTCAATGATGAAGATGCCGGGGCCGGTGGGGATGGCAGGCCCCTATGAAGACAGAGGCAGAGATTGGAGTTCTGCCACAGGCCAGAGAACAGCAGGAACTTCCAGAAGCAGGAAGGAGCAAGGAAGGACACTCTCCTTGAACTTTTGGAAGGAGCATGGTCCTGCCCTTGCCTTGATTTGGGACTGTAGCTTCCAGAACTATGAAAGAATAACTTTCTGTTGTTTTAAGCCCCTCAGTTTGTGGAAAATTGTTACAGGAAATTAATAGAAGATCTAAAATGAAGCACGCTGAGAAGTAATGGGGAGTTAAGAAGGCAGCAATCGGCTGTTCTAGAAATTGAATATTACTCCTCATCGACAGAATTGGACTGAACTAGGCCAAAAGGTTAGTGGTAAAGGGGTCAGGCTTTGGAAACCCCAGCTTTGGGTACCTGTCAGCAATGTGACCTCAGGCAAGTGAGTTTTGCCTCTCAGGCAAAATACTCTGGGGTATTTCCTTGTCCATAAAGTGAGGATTCCAAAACGCTCTTGGTCAGGTTATCCCGAAGACTAAGTCAAATACCTCATTTGAAAGCATTCATCCTGGTGTGTGGTACGTAGTAAACTCTCAATAAAAGCCAGTTGACTTTTATGACCGACCTAAAGTTGCCTCACCTAATCCCTATCACTTGACCTGTGATTCCTTCATTGTACCACTACTAGTAATGTTCATCAGTGGCTGTCTTCCTGCCAGAATGTAGAACGTAAGCCCCATTAGACCGGGGCAGAGTCTCATTTATGGCTGCAAACAGGACCTGCAAATAGCACAAAGGCCAGCATGTATTTTGAGATGGGCGTGTGAATGAATGAATGGTGGACACCTTGTCTTGTACATATTAAATGAAGACATGTTTAATCAATATCTTTCCTTTTATTCTGTCTGTGGTCCCACATAACTGCATTAGAATTCCTCTGTAACCTGCCCCACCCACAACAATTTCTCTACTGTGTTAAGCTTCTTTGGTAGGAACCCAGCTTCCCTGATATGTAAAATAAAGGTGTCCTAGAATCTTCGGAAGGATGGGGCTACGTTCTTGCTGGAGATGACAGACTGTGAGATGTCAGTCTCACGCCTGGCACCTGGTAAGGGAATTTCTCTCTCCTTCCACTTGCACTGTTTATTTTTTTGCTATAGGGGCGTGGAGGAGACAGAGGCACTGAATTGAGGGACAGCTGGGAACAATTTGGGAGTTTATGAAATCTTAGTGAATGTCTTTTTTTTTCCTGGAGTTGCGTTAGACGGGGGCACTGCTTGCTTCCAGAGGAACCAAACCACCCAATTGGACTTCACAGGGTCAATAAAACGCTCTGAAAATTCTGTGTCTTGCAAAGGGCCAGCCTCTCATGTGTCCCCCAGGGACCTAGGTCACAGTGGCTGTGAGTGGAGTGTTTCAGGATGTCAAGGGGGGGCATCGCCCTAATAGCAAGAGTCCCTGAGCTGGAGACTTGTCAATTACCTACAAAAGAGGTGGATCGACACCCTTGAGCCCCATTATACCAAAGTTCATGGTCCTCAGTAGGAAAGGGTGACCAGCAAGTGGGGTCTTTCAGAGCCTTAGAGCCAAGGAGGCCCCGACAATTAAGCAAGAACAGGGTTGGCCAGCCATCCCGTCTGAATACTTTGAGATCCCAGGAACAGAATCCATTCTTTTCCTCAACAGGGTTCAAGGGTGCCCTCTCTCCTCTGGGGAGTAAAATGATTGGCTCAGCTTGTTTAAAACTGTGAGAGGCCCCGTCAGCAATCATCAGTACGGTCCTCTGGAATCTGGCCATGGGTTGATTTTCACATCAGCCTCTGTCTCAGTGACTGAGGACCTGGGGAGCTCTTTGTTTCCTTCAAAGCCACGTCTCCTCAGATGCTTCCTCCAGCGGCCCAGACAGTGGTGGGCGGAGGAGCGGATCTCCCCACTCCTCAGGGCATAGATAATGGGGTTGACCATGGAGTTGACAAGGCAGAGCAAGGAGCAGAAGGCGAAGACCATCCTGACCTCGTCGCTTAGGGTGGCGGTCAGGCTGTAGACCATGAGGGCCAGTACCGGGAACCAGCATATGAAAAGCACAGCCAGCACCACCCCCAGGGTCTTGGCCAACCTCACATCCAGTCTCATCCGTGCCATCCCTGGCACCTGCCTGTCCTGGTGTTCAGCTAAGCTGGCTACATGCTGATGGGCCTTCCAGAGAACATGCCCATACGTGTAGATGATGCCGAAGAAGAGGAAGGCAATGAACAGGAGCCAGCCCAGCAGATAGTCATTGGGAATCAGGGGGAAAAGCTCAGAGCAGGGATGGGGACAGCAGGTCCATCCCATAAGGGGCAGGTAGGAGACCAAGGCTGAGAGGACCCACATGATGCCCAGGGTGGCCAGTGCCCTCCCACGGGTGAGTAGTGCTTTGTACGTGGGTGGGTAGCACAGACAGAGGTAGCGGTCGATGGCGGTCAGCAGTAGGCTGCCTACAGAGGCTGTGAAGGTGATGGTCACGCTGCCAATCTTCAGCAGGAAGACAGCCTTAGAATCTATGCCGTGGAAGACGTGGAAATTTACAAAGTTGCAAGCAAAGATCACACTGGCCAGGAAGTCGGCCACAGCCAGGCTGCTGATGAACAGGTAGGAAGGCTTCCTCCGGAGCCGGTGGGAGGACAGGATCAGGTAGAGCACAGCCAGGTTCTCCAGGGCGCTTAGCAGGGCCAGGGTGGTGCACAGCACCGCAATAGCGATCCTTTGGGAACCGTTCAGGACCATGTACTCTTTCATGGGGTTGAAATCCAAGCCATCCTTGCAGCCATTGGCTGCCTCCATCACCCAGCGTCTCTCCATGGGGTGGGTCCCTCGGCTCCTGCTGGGCTCACCAAGAAGCCTTTGCTGTGGTACAATGAGAAGAAGAAATGAGTCTATTTCAATTAGCATCATAATGACTTCCCACAATCACCAGCTCTGGCCAAGCCCTTTACCTGTGTGGATGGAGCTTCTGTTGAAATAACAATTTATACTTTTCAGTTTTTGAAAAACGTTTGTTTTTTGTTCCTCTGTATGTTGCCCCTGCTCCTTTCTACTGGGTCACTAGGTCTGTACTGGTTTTGCTTTAGGAGACATTCTTGGGAATTCAAGAAGCAGAAGTGGCCTGCGAGTGTTTTGGTCTTTTGTTTTAAAAAAGACCAGTTCTGAGACTTCCCTTTTCCAGGAAGAGAAATCTACAAGGGTCAAAAACCGAGAGGAAATCAAAATCAAGAAAAAAATGGAATCCAGAGTGATGAGACGGGAGGGCGCTTTCCCATTGGTGTTTTTGTTCTGTTCTGTTTTGTTTGCCGGCTTTGGAAAGTAAGAGCCTGAAGCTTTAACAACAAAGATTCGTCTTTGGCTTCATGCCAGTAGGGTGCCAGATAAAATAACAGGAATCTAGATAAATCTGGATAAATGTCGGATAATGAATTTTTTTTTTTTTTTTTTTTAGTATAAGTGTGTTCTAAATATTGAGAAAAACTGAACCAGGGCTCCCACATATTGTAGGGGACATCATTAGATATGATTAGAAATCAAACTTAAAATTTCTCTAGCGGGATATGCTTTCTAGCCAAGTCACCCAAGTTTCCCTCTTGGAGAAGCACATGGAATTTGAGCTCGCGATGCAAAATGACGAAATACATGAAGACCCGTGAACAAGAGTTAGCAGAAATGTCAGACGGTAGAATGAGACTCCCCAGGACTCTGTATCATTTTTGGAAATACGTTTACTATAATTAAACAATAAGGGCTCAAACACATGAGTACATGAGTACATAAGTGGGAGACTGTCTAGGCAGATTTAAAAAAGAATCAAGTAGGGGCGCCTGGGTGGCTTAGTCGGTTGAGCGTCCGACTTTCCGACTTTCGCTTAGGTCATTATCTCACGGTTCGTGGGTTCGAGCCCCTCGTCGGGCTCTGTGCTGACTGCCTGCTCAGAGCCTGGAGCCTGTTTCAGTCTGTGACTCCCTCTCTCTCTGACCCTCCCCTGCTCACGCTGTCTCTCTCTCTCCCCTAGAAATAAATAAAACATTAAAAAAAAATAATAAATAAAAAAGAATCAAGTAGAATTTCTGGAACTGAAAAATAAAGTCTTTGAAAAAAGAAACCCTTAAAGGTAGGTTAAAGAACAGAACGGATTAGTTGGAAAGCATTGAACATGAAGGGAGAGCTGAAGAGCTTCCTTGAAATGCAGCACAAAGAGACAAATGGGACAGATAAAAGAGAGGTTAAGAGGCATGAAGGATTGAATGAAAGGTCCTAAAATATATCTAATTGGAGTTTCAGAAGGGAAAAATGGAACTAAGGGTAGGCATTGGGGAGGCCACAGAGGGAGGCTGATAGTGGAGAATCATCCAGAATTCTCCTCAGATTCAGAAATCACAGTGAACTCTGAGCAGAATTTTATTTTATTTTATAAATCTTTAAAAAAAATTTTTAATGTTTATTTTATTTTTGAGAGAGAGAGACAGAGCATGAACAGGGGAGGGGCAGACCCAAAGCAGGCTCCGGGCTCTGAGCTGTCAGCACGGAGCCTGACATAGGGCTCGAACTCGTGAACCATGAGATCATGACCTGAGCTGAAGTCAGATGCTTAACTGACTGAGCCACTTAGGCGGTCCTATTCTAGAAGTATTTTTAAAAGTTTATTTATTTATTTTGAGGGGCGGGGGAGTGCACACATACAAGTGGGGGAGGGACAGAGAAGGAGAGAGAGAACCCCAGGCAGGCTCTGCACTGTCAGCACAGAGCCATATGCGGGGCTCAAACTCAGAAACCATGAGATCATGACCTGAGCTGAAACTGGATGTTTAACCGACTGAGCCACCCAGGTGGCCCCCACCCCCAAGCAGAATTTTAAAAACAAACGAATTCCACATTCACATATATCATAATAAAACTTCATAACACCAAAGACAAAGAGAAACAATGGAAAGCAATTGGAAGGAAAGGACACAATACCTGCAAATGAATCATAGTTAAATTTAAAAGCTGATTTTCCAATAGGAACAACAGATGCCAGAAGAAAGAGGCAAGAGGGAGGGGTAACTAAACCATAACTCAAAATAAAGACATATAAGTAGAATTATCTAGGAACAGACCTTTCCTGAAGGAATATTTAAATGACATGCCATCACAAGAAAGAAATTTTTCACAGAGGGAAGAATAGGAAGGCAAGAAGGAACTGTGAGCAAATAAATTGCTAAATGTATGTGTAAATTAAAACGACTGTTTGTATAAAGCACTAGTAATAATGCTAATGACCAGTTTGGAGGATGTAAAGAAAAAATGGAAGTAAAAGTGTGAATGACAGTAACACAAGCCAAGAAAGGGAAGAGTTGAAACTTTATTCAGGAAGTGATTAAAGGCATTGGTCTACTTTAGGATTTTAAAAATCAAGCATCAGCTCTTACCTGGTTGCTTTGATAGTTTGCAAACCTGCTTTTAATCTGACTCATCTTTAGTCTATTTTCAACCCAGCAGCTAGAGTGATCCTTTTAAAATATGTCAAGAGGGTGCTACTCATTGTCTGAAATCTTGTATAGGACACATTCCATTTGGTGTAGGAGCCAAGGTACTTACAATGGCATAGAGGGCTTTATGTGTTCTGGCCCTATCACCTCTCTGATTGCCCTAATATCATACTTTCCTTAGTCAGCCAGCTTTAGCCATACTGCCTGATGGGTCTAACCTCCTGCCACAGGGCCTTTGCACTGGCTATTCCCTCTTCCTGAGCACACTTTCCCTAGATATATGGTTGACTTAGTCTTTCACCTTCTTCAAGTCTTGGATTAAGTTTTACCTTTTCAATGACATCTTTCTTACCAGTCTACTTAATGCCATAACTCACCCCAACCTCTTGCTCTTCTGGTCCCCCTCCCTCTGTTCTATGTTTTACTTTTTCCCATATCACTTAACAGCTTCTAACATATACTTTACCCTACATAACTTACCTATTTATTATGTTTTATTGTTTATTGTCTGTTGTTTCACTGGAATTTAAGCTCCATGAGGTCAAGGAGCTATTTTGTTCACTGATATAAGGTCTTAGAATAGTATCTGATACATAGTAGGTACTCAATAAATATTTGTGGACTTGAAGTGAAATGAAATTGAATGGTGACTGATTTTAGCATTCCTTTCTCAGAATTTGATACAGTGAGCTGACAACATGCTAATTAATAGAATGTATAGTATTTGAACATGCAATGAACAACCTTGATTAAATAGTTAATATGGATGGGTGCCTGGCTGGCTCAGTTGGTGGAGCATGCAACGCTTGATCTCAGGGTTGTGAGTTTGAGCCCCATTTTGGGTGTAGAGATTACTTAAAAATAAAATTTAAAAAATAGTCATATATGGAACTCAGCACCCCAAAATTAAGAATATACACTGTTTCCAAGCAAATGTTGACATTTACCAAAACTGGCTAAGTCTTAGGTGAAGAGTAAATTTTAACAAATTTAAAATAATATGTAACATACAAATCATGTTCTCTGACCACAGTGCAATTTATTAAGAAATCAAGAACTTAAAAAAATATAAAACTAACAAACTTCATAAGAATGAAGCTTTAAAAATACTTCTGAATAATTCTTGGGTCAAAAAACCATAAAGGGAATCAGAAAATACTTAGAATTGTAACATTAAAATTCGTGGGATGCACCTGAGCAGCACCAAAAAAGAAATTTACAGCCCTACGTGCTCACAGTAGAAAAGGAAAAAAATGTGCTAAACATCACAAAATTAGAAAAGGAACAACAGCATAAATACAGAGAAGACAGAAGACAGAAATCATAAGGGCAGAAATTAATAATATAGGAAAATAATGGAGACTGGAAAAGACCAAAGCTAGTTTTTTAAAAAGGTAATAAAACAGGCAGGGGCCCATGGGTGGCTCAGACTTTGCCTCAGGTCATGCTCTCATGATTGCACAGCTCATGGGTTCGAGCCCCGCAGTCAGACTCTGTGCTGACAGCTCAGAGCTTGGAGCCTGCTTCAGATTCTGTGTCTCCCTCTCTCTCTGCCCCTCACCTGCTCATGCTCTGTCTCTCTCTCTATCAAAAATAAATAAATATTTGAAAAATAAAATAAAATCGGGGCACCTGGGTGGCTCAGTTGGTTAAGCATCCAACTTTGGCTCAGGTCACAATCTGAGTGAGTTTGTGAGTTCGAGTCCCACATTGGGCTCTGTGCTGACAGGTTGGAGCCTTGAACCTGCTTTGGATTCTGTGTCTCCCTCTCTCTCTGCCCCTTCCCCACTCGTATTCTGTCTCTCTCTCAAAAAATAAATAGACATTAAAAAAAATAAAGTAAAATAGGCAACCCTCAGGAAAGATTTATTTTTCTAATTTATTTATTTATTTATTTATTTATATATTATTGAGAGAGAGAGAGCACAAGTGGGGAAGGGACAGAGAAAGAGGCAGACAGAGGATCCAAAGTGGGCTCCATGCTGACAGCACAGAACCTGATCTGGGGTGCAAACTCACAAAGTGTGAGAACGTGACCTGGGCCAAAGTCAGACACTTAACCCACCAAGCCAGCCAGGTGCCCCCTCAGGAAAGACTTCTGAAGAAAAAAGGAGAGAACCCACACACAAGGAAAATAATGGCATGAAAGAGAAATGGTCAATGATCAATCCTTTGTTGTTGTGGTTGTTTCTGGTCAATGATCCTTTGAAAAGATGTTTAACCTTAATAACATCCACAGAAATGTAAGTTTCACTCGTATCAGATTGGTAAAATATTAAACTGAGAAGGGCGCCTGGGTGGTTCAGGTCAGGACCCCAGTTCGTGAGATCGAGCCCCGAAACTGGCTCTGCACCGATAGTGCGGAGCTTGCTTGGGATTCTCTGTCTCTTGTTCTCTCTCTCTCTCTCGTTCTCTCTCTCTGCCCTTCCCCCACTTGCATTCTCTTTCTCTCTCTCTCTAAATAATTAAATTAATTTAAAAAAATTAAACCTGATGATACTGAGCATTGGAGAAGGCCCAGACCAACAAGAACTTGCAGCGCGGTGCTGGGGTGTAAGCCGGCACAACCACTTTGGAGAGCAGTTTGGCAAAACCTGGTGAAGTCGATGTGCCACTGTCCTTGGATGCACCGGTTCCTCTCCCGAGAATATGCTCCCGAGGGACTCTGAGACGCGTGACCAAGAAGACAGCTACAAGGATGTTCATTTAACTCTCCTGCTCCTATTTACCCACTTATTTACTTTTATTTTTGAGAGAGAGAGAGAGAGAGAGAGAGAGAGAGACAGTGTGAGCAGGGAAGGGTCAGAGAGAGAAGGAGATACAGAATCTGAAGACAGGCTCCAGGCTCTGAGCTGTCAGCACAGAGCCCGACGCGAGGCTCGAACCCACAAACCGTGAGATCATGACCTGAGCCGAAGCTGGACGCTCAACCGACTGAGCCACCCAGGCGCCCCCCTACTTACTTATTTTTTAAATGGGGTGTGGCCCACACGAAGCTTTCGTGGGACAGCGCTAGCCCACCCTGGCACAGGCAGGCCGGCTGGCAAGGCAGGGCGCAGAGCTCACGAGCCACGACAGGCCTCCCATCCGGCTCTGCTGCTCAGCCAGAGACCCCACTGTTTCCCAGACAGCTCTGCTTTCTTGCCCCTCTGCCCACACCTTCTCCCCAGGCTTCCTTTCTCTGGCTCACCTTCCTCCTTGACCTTCCTTCTGGACTCCTCTTTCACCCAGCGAAGGCTCCCTCGATCCCCATCACACGGAAGCTCCCGGCCTTACTCTGCTGATGTTTTAACTAGTTCTGCACCAGGCTTTTCTCCAACCGGATGAATAACTGCACTAACCAACATTTGCATGCGATTTAAATTCTACAAAGTAATTTTCACAACCACCATCTACTTTATAACAACTATATAATATAAAAATTATGATTTTTGTTCTTTCATAGATAAAGTGGGGTCAGAGATGTTAAACCACTTGAAGGACCCACAGGTCAGCAAGGGCAGAGAACTGGGCCTTCATTACCTCTGGTCTTTAGCGCCTTGCCCAATGCCTGCTGTCTACACAGTAGGTGCTCAAAAACTCCCTGATGAATGAACACCATTTGGACAGAAAGGGGCTGCCTCAAGTGGAGTGAACCCCAAGTAAGAGTGTGAGGGGGAGGGGAGCACATCCTGTAGGATCAAATTTCAGCAGAGTGGCCTTGTTCAAGCTATGAATGCCTCATTTTTCCCATTTCTCATCTGTAAAATGGGTTTTGTGAGGATTTTGGTAAATTAATATACCTGCTGAAAGTGCTGCTGCTGTTGCTGACCATCTTCAAATGGATATAATTCATAGACTCCATGAGATTCTTAAGAATAATATGCTGGGTGGCTCAGTCAGTTGAGTGTCCGAATCTTGGTTTCTGCTCAGGTCATCATCTCACAGTTAATGAGTTTGAGCCCTGCATCGGGCTCTGTGCTGATGGTGCAGAGCCTGCTTGGGATTATCTCTCTTTCCCTCTCTCTCTGCCCTTCCCATGTCTCCCTCTCTCTTTCTCAAAATAAATAAACTGTAAAAAAAGAACAACATCCTGACACCTCACAAAGCTGGATGAGTGGCAGCCCTTATTATAATCTAGTGTTTAAAAATTTTTAAAAAATTTTTAATGTTTATTTATTTTTGAGAAGGAGAGACAGAGACAGAGCGCGAACAGGGGAGGGGCAGAGAGAGAGGGAGACACAGAATCTGAAACAGTTCCAGGTTCTGAGCTGTCAGCACAGAGTCTGACATGGGGCTCGAACCCACAAACCATGAGATCATGACTTGATCTTGGGGCTCCAACTCACGAACTGTGAGATCATGACCTGAGCCGAAGTCGGACACTCATCTGGTTGAACCACCCAGGAGCCCCCAGTGTTTTAAAATTTTTAAGAGAGTGGAACAATTTTTACAATTGATGTCATCCCTATCCTATTCATAAGTCAGGTAAAATCTGAGTTCATATCACTTGTGCCCTCTCTTCAAGGCAATGTGAGGAACAGATCGAAAACCTTGCATCTAATCCAGCTCCACCATTTTACCATTAAGAAAGCAGTCCAAGGGGTGTGTGTGTGTGTGTAATCTCCTGAGGTCACCCAACAAAACAGCAGCAGACCCGAAACTAGATGTCACGCCCCCCACATCACAAGATAAGACATGTTCCGTAGGCACAGAGGTGGCCCTACCTACAGAAGTGCTTCCCTGAGACAGATGAGGTTTGCTGACTGTGGCCAAAGTCACATCTGAGCTCAGACAGGAAACGGTGCCAGCCGCGTTCTCAGCCCTGGTCACGAATGAGTGACAGTACAAGCCTTTCTCGGTTCCCACGTCCCCAGCCTGTCACTTCTGGAAGCTTCCTCCCTGCACCCTGCTGCCCCAGCCAACACCCCCCACCCCTCCACCCCGTATTTCCCTTAGAAAACAGCCCCCTTCCCACCAGAGCATGGCTTACCCCATGCAGAGGCCAGCCTAGAAGAGGGACGCCGGAGAGGTGGCTGCTGGCATTCTGTGCTTCCCCCAGGTCTGGTGTGGCCACGGACCGGTGGTGTTGTCCGAATCCGGCAAGGGCAGGAAATGCAGGCCTTTGGATGGAGGGCCTAACAAAATGACATCTGACAGCAACAGGATGCACAGAGCAACAGGAAACCCGGCCTCCTGTCTGGTTTCCCTGTGGGCAGATAGAAATACCTTCTGGAGTCAGAGCATCTGGCTCTGAGACGGGCCTTCGTCCAGGGCAAGGACTCGTCGGAGCACCCAGTGCAGGGAGAGACCGGTGCAGGCTGTGCGGCCGAGGTACCGCCGTGGCTTGTCATGTGACTCTGGGCAAGTCCCTTCGACTTTTCTGAGCCCCTTTGCTCAGTTACTTATTTTTTTTTTTTTAAGGCTTACTTATTTATTTTGAGAGAGAGCAGGGGAAGGGGCAGAGAGAGAGCGAGAGAGAGAATCCCAAGTAGCCTCTGTGCTGTCAGTGCAGAACTCGAACCCACGAACCCGTGAGATCGTGACCTGAGCTGAAATCAAGAGTCGGACGCTTGGCTGCCTGAGCCTCCCAGGGGCCCCCCTCCCCTTTTCTCATTTATGCAACGGCAGCGACAATATCTGTCCCATTCCCCTTGGAAAAACCAATTGGCTGGTGACCTTCACCCAGGCTTTTTAACCCAGTGAGCTGTGGTGGGGGTAGTGATCCTTTCAGAGTGTGTGTAAGACTTTATGTCCATACCTTCGTTAGGGGAGAGGGTTCGTATTTTTTGTCACTGTGTCAGTGGAGTTTCCTGAGTCACACAAAAGCATTTTGTGACCTGACTCTGTACAAACGCAAGATTAAAAGAAGACCAACCAGGGGCGCCTGGCTTGGCTCTATTGGTTGAGCATCTGACACAGGTCATGATTCCAGGGTCATGGGATGGAGCCCCACACTGGGCTCTGTCCTGAGCGTGGAGCCTGCTTGAGCTTCTCTCTGTCTCTCCCTCTCCTTCTGCCCCTCTCCCCACCTTGCTCTCTCTCTTAAAAAACAACAACCAAGTGCCATCTCCACCTAAGAAAAATGTCAAAGCCCCCAAACTACCCGACACTCTCAGACAGCAGGTCCGTGCTGCGGAGGGTTACAGGGCCTACAACTTGGAGCCCTCGTGCTCTGTGTCCGGGAAGGGAACCTTCAGGTGGGGGGACGTGGGGGTGCGGGGGTGCCCCTGGGGGGGTTTCCTACCTGAACTGAAAGTGTGAAGTGAAAGAATGAGCGCCATGGTGACAGCTGCCCCCACGCTCCAGCTGTGTTTAAAGCCCGAGGGTGCCAGGGACAAGGATCATGGCCCTTTGATTGTGGATACGACACCTGCAGTGAAAAACTGAGATTGATGGTCAAGAGCGGTCACTTTTCTCTCTGACTGGGAGCATGGAGGCCTGGGTTCTAGTCCCTGTTCAGCCACTGATCGTCATTGGGCAGCTCCCTTCTCCTTTCTGGGTCTTTCTTTCAAGCAGTGGGGTAGACTGGGTGATTTCGTAGGTCTCCTCCAGCAAGTTCACCATGTTGAATACCAGACCTCCCCGGGTTCGAATCCAGCTCTCTACTTCATCGGCTGTGTGACACGGGGTGAGTTACCTCACCTATGTTTCATTCATCTGTAAACCGGTGACAAGCACCACCACATTGTTGAACAGATTACGTTACCAATGTTTCCTAAATTCATGGCAGTGTTCCTGACTTACAGCACATGTCCAATAAAAGGCAGGAAAGGACTCAGTTGAGTTAGTTTCTTGGATTCTTACAGTATTCTGTGCTCGAGGTTTTCTGACCTTCATCTGAGAGCTGATGCAAATAGAAAGATCTCCGCTCATTCTTAGCTGACACTTTACCACCATGAAGGCCAAACCATCACATTTTTAAAAACTATTGGACCCGCATGACCTTCTCGGACTGCTTCCTGGCAGGCTGGGCTCTTGGTGCCTGTCCAGCTGTAGGAAGGGAGTCATGGGGGCCTTCCTTCCACATTTCTTCTCTTACTTCCCTTCTGTGCTTGATAGCACTTGGCTGCAAGTTGCAAGGAAGTTCTCCCGGGTTTGGGGCTGTAGGCTATTGTCCTTTGCCCAAATCTTGTCTATTTTTTTTTCGAGGTCCTATATCAAGGCCACCTTCTCCAGGAAGCATTCTCTGGTTTCCCATAACCCCTCCAGGTGGTTGAAACTCACTGAGTCTTCCTGTACGGGTCACTGTCTACCTTCTCTTATTTGTGTCTGTAATGCTTGTCTCCTCTCGCTTCCTGGATGTGGATGTGAGCTTCTAGTTCTGAGAGTCGAATCTGGGAGAGGGAGGGAAGACATCTTTGTATTCTAGTTCCCCTCACATGGAACCGAAGTAATGAGGGGTTCTGAGCTGAGCTAAGCAGCCCTCATGGAGGTGCAACTCAGCCCAGGTAAGCAGGACAATTTGATGGCCCGGAGTCACACCCTCTCCCTGTTCCATGATGGAACAGTGTCCCTAGGCCCTCAGTTCCCCCTCATCCCGAACCTCACCAGGAGCTTCTCACCATAGTGCTCCTTGCCCAGGGAACCAGCCTTCTAGAGAAGGGCAGGAACCACAAACAGCTGGTCTAAGGCAGAAAGTGAACTAAGAGGTTGGCAACTGTCCAGGCTCTTTTTGACCTTGTGAATAGACCACTACAGTGGTCATCCCGGAGGAGGTGGGACAGCTTGTGGGGGAAGGAACTTAAAGCCTCCTCAGTGATATGGGAGCCTGGGTGGCTCAGTCAGTTAAGCATCCGACCTCAGCTCAGGTCATGATCTCACGGCTTGTGAGTTTGGGCCCCGCATCGGGCTCTGTGCTGACAGCTAGCTCAGAGCCTGGAGGCTGTTTCAGATTCTGTGTCTCCTTTCTCTCTGCCCTTCCCCCATTCATGCGCGTGCTCTCTCTCTCTCTCTCTCAAAAATAAATAAACATTTAAAAAAATTAAAATGAAATCTCTCTGGTGACATAAGTCCCAGGAGAAGCTTATGGATATGAGGTACAGTATGGAAATTGTCCTAGGGGAGAGATGCAAAGGGCTGCCCAGGCCAGTTTCTTTTATTTTCTTTAATCAAAAAAATTAAAAAAAAATTGTTTTGAGAGTGAGAGCGAGCATGAGCAAGGGAGGAGCAGAGAGAAAGAGTGAGACAGAAACTGAAGCAGGCTCCAGGCTCTGAGCTGTCAGCACAGAGCCTGATGCGGGGCTTGAATCCACAAACCATGAGATCATGATCTGAGCCAAGGTTGGACTCTTAACCGACTGAGCCACCCAGGTGCCCTAAACTGACTTCTTTAATACATTTTCCTGGGAATTTCCAGCACCTGAGCACAGGGCTTGGCATAAAGTAGGCATTTAAATATTTTGAAATCAACGTGTTGAATGAATGAATGAACAAATATCCTATTGGGAAAAAAATCAGGCTTCTTCAGAGAGACTTTGTATTTTCTTTTCCCACTGCTGCCAGGAAGTTCAGAGCTAAGTACAATGCAAACCTGAAGTCCTGGTTCATTCAAGGTCGGTTCCCGATTCATTTCTCCTTTCTTTTAGTGGTTTCTAATGCTTTGCTTTTATTTCCACTGCCCTAATTCATAATAGAGGTCACCTCCAGTTCTTTAAGAGAAGGATTTGTGATTTACAGAATTGGTGCAAAGGATCATCATTAAGGCCTTTCTCAAACATCGAGTGGTTGGCAAAGAAACTCACTCCCATGAGTCTGCCCTGTGGGGCTGGAAGTTTCCGTCCGGTCTACTGTCCATTCCCTGTTCATCGCTCCCAACCAGGGGTCTCTGGGTTCATCACCTGCTGTCTGGATACTCGTTCTCCCTGGACCTTCCTTCCTCATCTGTCTGTATCGTCTCCAGCCTCCCTTGTGGGAGGAATTAAGCTAAATGGCGGCGTCTGAGGCCTCTTTCCACTATAGCCAAGGTTAAAGGGCCAAAGCTTCAGAATGAAATACCCTGGCCGGCTTCAAATCCCAGCTCTGGCATAGTGGGCTGTGTGACCTGAGGGCAAATTGCTCAAACTCTCGCTCAGAGAGTTCTTCTTCCGTGACTGGGGAAACTATTACTACCTGATGTGCAGAGTAAATAATGATTTAAAACAATTAAGCAGTAGCGTGGGGGCCTGAGTGGACTGTGGAATGTGCTGGAAACAAAAGGCTCTCAAGTTGGGACTCAGATGCTCAGGGTTCGAGCCTGGCTCTGGCACCAGTGGCGCTATGGAGACGTCACTTTCTCTCCCGGTCCCCAGGGTTGCCCTCTGAAAAGACCGAAGGATAATGAGGATGAGGGCTGGGCGATGTACGAGTGCACTCCACACATGATCACATTTAGACTTCCAAACAACCCTGCAAGGCTGCTGTAATTATTTTCCATTTTTTCCCGATGAGGAAAGTGGGGTCCAGGGATGTAAGAAACTTGCTGGGGGCACTGGGAACCCGTGCTCTGGCTCATTCCTCTGAAGACCCAGGGTCCCATCCTGTTGTTTTACATTCTTTACATTCTTTAATTCTTGGTAACTAACTGACTGATCTGAAATCTTCCCGCAGGACAGTGTTGTTGAGTCTCTTCAGATATCTTCTTCCTTGTTTCAACTACGTTATACTCCAGCAACTTCCCTTTCAGAGAATCGGCTGATAATGCCCACATCCATATCACATCTGACAGTTTGCACAGTGGGGAGGGCTCACGATGTTATCTGAAGCAGGTAGCATTTCTTGAGCAAACGAGTTCAGAGAGGGCAAGTCACTTACCTGAAATTCACAGCAAGGGACAGGCAAAGCTCAGACTTGAGCCCCTGTGCTATGACAAAGTCAGGTTGGTAAAGGGACGAGAGCCAATGCATGACCTTGCCCTGGGGTGAGGGGCCCTGACAACAGCCACAGGCAATCTTTGTTCTGTAGCCCCAGGGGCAAATTGCAACATTTCTCTTTCTGGCTTTTTCCTCCTCTGACCAATTTCACTCAGTAAGGCTTCCTTTGCTTACACTAGCTGATCCAGAATTTAGTCTTATCCCACCAACTCGATGGAGTCCCATCTCCTCACCCCCAAGCATTTGCCAGTCACGCTTTTGGGCTTTGGAGTCAGACAGACCTAACTTCCAGTCCTGGCACAGCCGAGTGTTAGCTTTGTGCCCTCAGATAACGTCACTTCTGGGCGCCCGGGTGGCTCAGTGGGTTGAATCTGACTTCAGCTCAGGTCATGATCTCGCAGTTCGTGAGTTTGAGCCCCACATCAGGCTCTGTGAGCCTGGCGCCTGCTTCTGATTCTGTGTCTCAGTTTCTCCCTGCATCTCCCCTGCTTGTGCTCTGTCTTTCTCAGAAATAACTAACACCTTAAATTTTTTTTTAAATAAATAAACATTAAAAAAGTTCACTTCATTCACTTATTTTCCTGTATTTCCTCATCCATAAAATGGAAATAACAAATAGTACATGCTTCATCGTTGGTGGTGAAGCACGGGAATTCATTGAGATAGCATCATGCTTAATACAGTGCCTGGCCCACAGTAAGCCCTCCATGGATATATGTATATATATAATATAGTGTAGAGACTATATATATAATATGTGTACATATTACAGTTTTCTCCTCACTTCTCCAAGGTCTTTGCTAATTGACACCGAGTGACATCGTTTCTGTCATGCCCTTGGGCTGGTGGAGGGGGGTCAAGGAGAACAGAGCGGTTGAGAGGCAGGATGGAGAGCGGGACAGTGTTAGGGGAGCAGAGGGACAAGATCCTGTGTCCATTCAGGATGTTTGGAGTTGAGTGAACCGGAAGCGGAGGATGTGCCAGGAGCCTTATGGATTCTTAACTAGGCTGGGCGAAAGCAGTCGGCTCCTGCCAGCCTGTGACTGGGACAGGAGCCCTGGGCCAAGGGGACAGGACTCTGGTTCCAGCCTGGGGAGGAAATGACGGCTGCGCAAAAATGGTCCTCTTCTCAGCGGGTCCATCTGTACCAGGAAGGGGTTTTTGATGACATTTCAAAGGGTCCTTCCTTCCAACTTGAAGTTGTGCAATTAACCACACGGGGAGGAGATGGGGGTGTTAGCCCGCTGAAGAGCTGGCATGACAAAGTCAGCTCAGGAAAGCCTGGAGCAGCGGTTCTCAAACTCTGTACTCTCTGCACCCCTTCCCCATCTTAAAAAAAATCACCAGACCCTAGAGGGCTTTCATGGATGTAGGTTACATCTTTCACTGTCTACTGTACTAGAAAATAAAACTGACAACTTAAAAAATGTTTAATAAACTTACTACATGTTAATAGAAATAACCTATTTTTTTAAATTTTTTTTTAATGTTTTATTTATTTCTAGGAGAGAGAGAGAGAGAG